CTACGGCGGCACCATCATGAAGGGCCACTCGGACCTCCTCGAGAAGCCCATCAACATCAGCACCTGCTACGAGGCCCGCGGCGCCTTCACCTACGACCGCCTGCACGCCAAGTGCAACCCGGGCGCGGAGGGCCGCACCCCCTCCGACGTCCTCGACGACATTGAGCAGCACGCCTGCCCCGGCGCCGGCGCCTGCGGCGGCATGTACACCGCCAACACCATGGCCACCGCCATCGAGGCCATGGGCCTCTCTCTGCCCGGGTCCTCGTCGTACCCGGCCCTCTCTCCGGAAAAGGCGCGCGAGTGCGAGCGCGCCGCCGAGGCCATCAAGGTCGTCATGGAGAAGGGCCTCCGCCCGCGCGACCTCATGACCCGCGCGGCGTTCGAGAACGCCCTCGTGCTGACCATGATCCTCGGCGGCTCCACCAACGGCGTGCTGCACTTCCTCGCCATGGCCAACACGGCCGACGTGCCCCTGACCATCGACGACATCGACCGCACCAGCAACCGCGTCCCCTTCCTCGCCGACCTCGCGCCCTCGGGCCAGTACTACATGGAAGACCTCTACAAGGTCGGCGGCACCCCGTCCGTCCTCAAGATGCTCGTCGCCGCGGGCCTCATCGACGGCACCATCATGACCGTGACGGGCCGCACCCTCGCCGAGAACGTCGCCGACTGGCCGTCCCTCGACCCGAACCAGAAGATCATCCGCCCCCTCTCGGACCCGATCAAGAAGACGGGCCACATCCGCATCCTCCGCGGCAACCTCGCCCCGGGGGGCGCCGTCGCCAAGATCACCGGCAAGGAGGGCCTCTCCTTCACCGGCGCCGCCCGCGTCTTCGACAAGGAGCACGAGCTCGACGCCGCCCTGTCGGCGGGGTCCATCCGCCGCGAGGACGGCAACCTCGTGCTGATCGTCCGCCACGAGGGCCCCAAGGGCGGGCCCGGCATGCCGGAGCAGCTCCGCGCCAGCGCGGCCATCATGGGCGCCGGCCTCGACAACGTCGCGCTCGTCACCGACGGGCGGTACAGCGGCGCCTCCCACGGCTTCATCGTCGGCCACGTGTGCCCCGAGGCCGCGGTCGGCGGGCCGCTCGCGCTCGTCCGGGACGGGGACACCGTCACCATCAACGCAGAGACGAACCGCATCGACGCCGTCGACGTCGACGAGGCCGAGTTCGAGAGGCGGAGGAAGGAGTGGAAGGCCCCGCCACCCCACGTGAGGAGGGGCGTGCTGGGCAAGTACGCGCGCTTGGTTGGAGATGCCAGCCACGGCGCCGTGACGGATCAGTCGGACCCCTCATGGTGACGGGCCGGCTGCTTGTTGTGAGATGCCCGCCCGCCGACCTGTGAGGAAGTGAGGTAAAACGAAAGGGGGGGGGGGGGGGGGGGGGGGAACAAAAACAAAGATGATGAGCATATCTTATTGCATAGACGTAGATACTCGGCATAATTTGATGCAAATCAGCGTGGCAGAGTGTCGAGCCCTGTTCCAAAGTGAAAACTGTCAATCGGCCATCCGCTTCGAAAGCCGGGTTTCCAGCTGTTGAACTCTCCCACATGAGATGATGAGATCCTTTGTGGTTCCGGACTCAATCCGGCATCAAAAAAGCAATCGAGTACTCAAGTCCAGGCGTGAATGGGGGGGGCGCCTCCTTTAATCAAACTTCTCGGTGTGCATACAGTCAAATCCCGGGGACTGCATGGTGCCGATAGCCTCACCATGAGCAAGAGGCCCATCCAAAATACACTACAATCACATATGCCTCATCGACATGCGCAAAGAGTCGGCAGCAGCATCGTCAAGGTAGGTGAATCTCAGGATGCCACATATATACAATTCCGCCGGAGGGCCAGGCCGTTCTAGCATGCACTCCTCTCTAATACTGACAATAGACGTCCATATTTCGTTGCTTACGCGTCCCATTGGTATCCTTGTGCACGCGGAAAAGAGGTTTGTTCAGCCCCCTTGTCTCTCTTCCCCCTTCTCTTGAAGAACCAAAACCAAATAGACTTCGCTTGGCCTAGGGGATGATGATGACCCAAGCCAGTCGTTTCTGTAGCTTTCCACCTTTCTATTTCATGCGTCGCGATCCCTCGTGTGGTGTGTGGTGAAGGATGAAGAAAAAGCTGATTATGGACAATGACCGAACACTTTGATACCCTTTAACTCCCAAAGAACTCGAGCAAGACCGATACTGGCAATGCCGCTACACACGTGCGAACATGACTGAAACCCGCTGAAGACAGAGGGTCTGATGTCCCCACTTCGTCAATATGCAATTCCTTTTTCGTCGTTTTCCCCGTAACTGGTGCCAGAAGCATGCGTGATGGGTGTGACTCGTGACATCGTATGCCATGTTGTGTCGTCGCTGTTGCAGTTGTTGTTGTTTTGCAATTACGGGCTGGCCCATCCACCTGCAACATCAACCCATTCGGCGAGGCACGATCCCTCCTTGCCCTCGACGTCGACAATGTCTGTGTCGCATCTGCATCTGCATCCGACTCCGTTCTCCTTCTCAGCGTCCCAGTCTTCCCAGTACTTGTCTTCTTCGATACGCTTCTTTTCGTCGAGCGTGGTCTTCTCAAGGTAGGGTTCTCTGGGCAGTTGTCTCGCCGGGGCGTTCGCAGGGCAGTGCTGGATGGTGGTGTGTCGGTAACCGAAGTCGCGGAAGTAGTGGATGTCGCGGGGCGCGAGGAGGGCGCCGGCAGCCAAGGAGTGGATAGGAGCATCACCCCACTGCATTTGTTAGCTCAGTCTCGACCGTGTCGTATGCATCCATAGACTCACGCGTTCCATCCAGAAGCCTCCACTGCGGTCCATCATCTCGAAGAACTCCTCGTACTCCTTGCTGCGGAACCAGTCAAGGCTGGCAATCTCAAAGTTGGACCAGAAATGGCACATGTTGTACGATTCGCCTTCCATAGCCTCGGGATCAATCTCGGGAAGGTTGTTGCGGTTCGGGTCGCTACGCAGGACCTCCTCAGGGAGAGGGCTTTGGTCGGTAGGCGGCTCCTCCTTCTTCTCGACGGGGTCAACGAACATCTCCCATAAGCCCTTGGACTTGAGGCCCTTGAGGCGCTTGTAGGCGGAGGCGTAGCGGAAGATATTGGGAACGGTCTCGCGGAGCTCCTTGACGGCGATGGTGAAGCCGTAAGTCTTGTTGGCGTCGATCATGGCCCAGAAGGGATCACTGAGATGGTCAACAACTGGGTTAGCGGCCCCGGGAACCACCACTTACTAGGTAATGTCACAGAAGTACTTGATCTCGGGCTCAAGACGCCAGTACCAGTTGTACTTGGCGAGGAGCTCATGCTTGTAGAAGAATCTGAGAGATGTTAGTGCCCAATCAGCCGTCGTCTGTGAAAAGACCTGCTTACCCAGAGTAGAAACGGCACATGGCGTGGTAGCTCTCCAAGCCACCGTACATGACGGCGGCGTCGCCCTGCTTGGCGATACCTTCCTTGGCGACCTTGTGGTCAATCCAGTCGGGGTAGCCCCACATTTCAGGGCCAACCTTGCCAAACTCGACGGGGGCAGAAGTGTAGTTCCTGACGACCTCCTTGAAGGTCTCGTTGAAGTCGCCGTCGTTCAGGAAGACATAAGGGTAGTGGTACCAGCGGTTGAAGTGACGCTCGATGGATTTGATCGATTGGATGACACCGTCCAGCTCCTTGTTGCGGGCCAGGACGACGAAGGCACCGTTAGCTCTGGGTCTGCTCGTGTCGGGCTCGAGGCATCCGGTAACGAACACCTTATCATGCTCTTCGCTGATTTTCCTGCGCGCAATCCACGTCAGACTTGTCGATTATGGACGGGGAGGAGATTGTACATACCTGATGGCGGGGGGCGCACCTGCGGGCATCAATATCCTCCCAGGCGAGCTGGGGTGTCTGACGAATAGTACGAGGATGAGGATGACAACGATCAGAGGGAAGAGGATGACGACGCCGAGAGGCACCGAGATGCTCGAATTGCCGCGGAGCCGCAGAGGTCTTCTGAAGAAGGCGAGGCGCGACGTCAGTCTGTTCTGGCGAGCATGCTTCGTGGCAGGCTTCTCGTCGGCGGTGGGCAGTTGCGGCGTTGTTGAGGGGATGGCCTTGACGGCCCGTCTAAAGAGATCCATGGCTGCGGCTGCGGCGTACCGTGGCCAGCAGAGGTGCGACGAGAAGAAGAGGTCGGTCGGTCAGGTGCTCAAGCGGGTGTTGAGGGGTGAAGGCGGGTGAGAGAGAGATGGGATGGCTGCGAAGGTGGCGCTGGGGAGAGACGTGTCGAGGTTGATTGGGATCGGATAAGGGGTGGGAGTGCGGTTTGGGGTACGATGGGCCGATTAATATTTTTGGATGAACTCGCAAACCGCGAAACAAAAGCAAGGCTACGTCTCGTCGAAGCAGCGAAAATCAAATCAATAGAGTAAGGGGTCCGTTCCAGTTGGCCGCAGGGGGTGAGGCGGACGATGCGAATTGCGAGGAGACGTGAACGAGCGGCAGGGACGAAGTTTCCCTCGAGCAAGGCGTCGATGTCGGCTTCGGCTACGGTTGTGGTAGTTGTGTTGATGGTGGAGTGCTGAGCTGACCGAAGACGGGAGAAGCTGAGACTAAACAGTTTTCAGGCTACCTTACGCGTCCAGGGAGACACGGGTATCAGCACACGAGCAGTGACGGGGCCGGGGCTGTCCCTGATGGAGGGTGTGAGATGTGGATGCGGATGCGGCAGCGGCGCACGGCACAGCAAACCAGCGCAATGGTCAATGGCACGTCGGATGGCTGACTGCCCTGTCGTGCCGTAGCGATGTCCACAGAACCCCCCGGAGACCGACAGGTTGAACAAAGTCGATAGCCAACTGCGTCGAGGAGATGTCTCTCGGCAGGCGACGTAGGCCAGTGGGCGATCGCACGAGAGGAGAGAATCGCGTGACCCCAAACGCTGTCGTTGTCTTTCGTAGTCGGGTCGGGGAGGAGACGGAGTAGGAGGAGTAGGAGGAGTAGGAGGAGTAAGAGGAGGAGGAGGAGGAGGAGGGAGGTTGGAGAGGGAAGTTCGTCGACAGAGAGGGGTGGGTTCGTAAAGTTGGAGGAAGTACGGGAGAAGAAAGGGATTGGGCTGGTTAATCGGGAAAGAAACCAACTTTTTTTTTAGGGGGGGTGTGGGAAAAGAGGCTGACAGATGTCACGGATACGGATGAGAAGTAGAGTTAATGTCAGCCGGCTGGTATGGGGATTCTTTTTCCCCCCCTTTCCTTTCCCCTTCTTCTTCTTCTATTACTCCTTGTCTTTGGTGATAGGAAGCCCGGGGTACCGGGGAGACTCTTGGACAGTGGGGGCACAGAGGAAGAGAAGCGCACACTGAGATACATAACTACCTATCTACATAGTACAGGTACCAAGGTACCTCAGATAAGTCACATACCTAGATACCTAGGTAGTCTATCTGGGTAGGGTGGCGATGCAGGACGAACCTGAAAGGACACGAGGGCAGATGTTAAAGATATGGCATGACAAGGAAAAGAGGGACCGCCAACCGGTATTCGATCCGTTAGCGCTCCTTTGTTCACTTGCCTTGTGGATGGCCAACAAGACAAAAAGGCCCCTGTTCCTGCTAGGTATCTATTTGTGAGATTCTGGCCGTTACCACTGCCACTGCCACTGCCACCCTCCATCACCCACCCGTTGCACCCTTATCCACCCTCCTCCCATCTTCGGGTCGCCTTGTTGCTTCATCTTTGCTTCGACCGGCCTTGGGCCACTTTGCTTTTCCCCAATCACGTCCTTTTTTTTTTTTTTTTTTAATCACTTGTATATCTGTCTGACGGGCGCGCCAGAGACCAGACCGCACTGGACTGCATCTGGACGGGGAGCTGCAACGAGTTCCTAGTCCATGCAGCCAACCAGGTCAAGTCCAAGGAAACTATGGTGGGTACCGGGGACCTCTAGCGGACTCCGACGGGCCCAAGTACGTCACATCATTGGATAAATCGTCTTGCCAAGGAGCGCGGAAAGGAGGAAGTGGATCGATCCCTCCTTTTACTGTACGTACCGTCTTGTTCGTACCTATCTAGGTACCCAGGTATGAGGTGCAGTGCAATCAAGGATTCAAAGCAATCTGGACCTTCCTCTCCTTCTTGACACCGTCTGCATCTCATCATCACTGCGAGTTGTGACCCGAGGGAATTTCTTTTCTTAATGCTTTCCATTGTCCTGCCAGCTGCCAGCTGCCGTCAACATCGAATTGCATCGCATCATCCCCTTTCCCCCCTACTGCCAATTTCCCACTTCCTGTCCTTCGTTTGAATCTCCCGCAACCTGCTGCACCAGCACTTGCGCCAATGCCAGCGACCTCCGGAGGAAACAAGAGCCAACTTGATATTATTGGCTACCCGAATGCCAGGTGTCCTAGCTTGCTTCTAAACCATTTTGTACCTGTATTCCTTCCTTAGGGCACACTACCCAAGTCCCGAGGTAAGTTAAGGTAATCCCAAGGTAATTCCAGGGTAATGATATCCAACTCTGTCCCTGATAGCGGCGGCATTCCCGCCCAATCGCGCAACCTGTTCGTCCCTCCTTCAGCGCATGCCACACTGCCATCTCCCCCACGTGACAGCGGCTTCTGATTGTTCCTCTGCTCAACGCAACGCAACCGATACGTATTTTTCGTGCCTGTGGTAAACTTTCATGAGCTCACATCCGTCCCATTAGCTCACAACTGGATAACCATGACTTCAACCATATCAATTAGCCGCATGGTAATACAAAGTAACGTATGACTAGTGCACCTTGCTGCTTCGACTTGTAGCTGTTGCTCTTTTTGAAGCTCCAATGCCTCAACGTGTCGTTCCATGCCGTTGCGCTGTCCGCTCAAGCCACACACACACACACCACAACCCCCTCGTCGAGCATATCTCGCCTCCCTCGAAGAACGCCAACGGCCTCATGTCTTACCTTGATCGCGATGCGTTGATGTTAAGCTTACACGATTCTTAACATACCAGGCCTATCAGATACCCAGTCGGCTGTTGATTACGCAACACATGGTGGGTTGAAGGTCAAGGCCATTTGTTGCTAGAAACATTATAATCGAACAATAAAAGGTCATGTTCCAGCTTATAACACCCTTCAACGTTTACAAGATGCTATATCTCACTGGTGGGCAGGGTTTATGACAAGATGCTGCCCCCCCTCCCCCCAGTTGCGCCAAAATGGCCAGTTCAAATATCACATCGTCAATACCACCAGATCTCAGTCGTCCAACTCCCGGATGGCATAGCTTCATCATATACTATCACAGTCATATTCTTCCATACCAATATTGGTCTCGTAGTGTCTGGAATCACTTCGCCTTGCTGTATAGCTTCTTCTCCATGAAGCTTAGTCTCCCCATAATGATATTGACCAGCGGTTCCTCCAAGACCGCCGGCATCAAGTCCGCGAGCCACATCTGTAGCGCATGCCCCCAATACGGCACCACCACCGCGCGCCCACATCCAACCCGGTCCAGGATGCTCTCTGCTATCGTCTCGACCGAGGGCCAGAATATCCGCGGCTGCATCACATCTCTCCTTGTCGCCACCGCCCCGACCCTCATCCCGAGCACTTCGACATCCGCCCGGGCGATCGCGAGCTCGCGACCCATACTCATCGACAGCGCGGCCAGGTACGCCTTGCAGCCACCGTAGAACGACAGCAGCGGCAGCCCCATGTCGGCAATTGAGCCCACGTTGATAACGAGCGCGGGCGCCGCCGGGTTCCTGAGCCTCGGCAAGAGGATCGCGGACAGCAGAGTCGGGAACAGGGCGTTCATGTGCACGTTGTCCGCGATCTCTTCCACCGTAGACTCGTCGAGACGCCGCAGGACGGGGGCCATCGGCACGCCACCGACGTTATTCACCAACACCCTCAAGTTGAGGTCCTTCAGTGGGGCCAGCATGGCATCCCACGGCCGCGCGCCGGCGCCCAGGGCCACTGCGTCGCCGACCACGATCCGGAACTCCCGGCCCGGGTGTCGCAGGGCCAGGCCGCGCCGGACGTCCCCCAGCTTGGCTTCGTTGCGGCCGTGAAGGATGACGTTGAAGCCGCGGCGGGCGAGCTCGTCGGCGAGGCCCTTGCCGATGCCGTCGCTCGCGCCGGTGACGAGGGCCCACGCGGGTTTTCCGTCGACGGCCCTGAGGTAGCGGCCGAGTCCGGATTTGCGGAAGAAGGGGAAGAAGGGCCAGGCGAGATTGTATGCAATGGCGACGAGGGCAAGAACCCCGACGGATGGCAGGAAACCGAGGGGGGCCATGTTATTGAACGGGGTACTGGTAATTCTTGACAGCAAAAGAGGAATGAATCTACCATCCCCCTCTTCCCCAAATGTTTCCGCCGCTTCCTATTTAAACATTTCCCTGATATGCAAGGAAACACGAGCACCAATGATCAGATCAGTCATCCAGTTGATGATGTCTGCGAAACCAACTCCCGAGGCAGGGATATGGCGAGGAAACATAAAACGTTCGCTCTTCATGCTCTCCGCGTGGGCGCTCGCCATCCGAAAACAAGGCATTGCCAGAGACGACGGCACAACGTTCCGGGACACGGATACGCTCTCCTCCCACTCGTTCTCGGGAGTCAAATGGTTCTCGGAACGTGCGCCAGATCCTCCCGTGCGTGCCGTGGCCGGTGTGTGGATGGGGGCTTCTCAGTAACGGTAGGTAATAATCCCGCGACCGGGAGAACGTTGAGCTGAACTCTCCCCACCTTCTGCTCTGCGCTTATGTGCTCTTATGCTTGATCCCGTACACGAGAGGCTGTTGTCAATATCGGACGGAAAACGGCAAGCGAGAAAAGGCCCAGCGCTCTTTGCATGGGGTAGTATACAATGTCTGTACATACATGTCGCCGGAAAAATAATAGTACAGTTTTTCTTTTCTTTCTGCGCTTCGTCCGCCGTGCTTTGTCTCTGCACACACCACCCCGAACCTCCTTTCCTGTCCGTTCCGTCGGCCTCGCAGTTTACCAGAGCAGGTTGTCCTCATTCTTCTTCTCCTGCCTGTGGACCTGGCGGTTGACATTCTCCACACGCTTTTTCGGGATGGGCACCTTGAAGTACAGACTGGGCGACTCGCCCTCCTTGAGCAGGTGGCTCAGGTAGCCGCGGTGGGCGGGGTCACGGTAGTACTCGATGTCCTCACGGCTCGTGGGGTCGGGCAGGCGGTACTTGAAGGGCTTTGAGCGAGCCTCGGCGAGGACGCCAGCGACGTACTCCTTGCCGACGGGCAGCGGCTTATCCGTGTTCTCACTCTCGCCGCGCAGGATGCGCTTGATGGACTGCTTGGTGTAGAACCTCGTGAGAATCTTGCCGCCGTTGGCCTCGACGGCGTCGATGGCGGAGGCGGAGGCGCGCGAGACCATGATGTCGATGGGCTGGCGCAGGTCCTGCTTGCCGCGGCCGAGGAGCTTGATGCCGTCCTTAACGGTGCCGACGAGGCCTGACTCGATAATCTCCTTGACGGTGATTTGCTTCGTGGGGTCGATGCGGCCGGCGTCGATCCATTGCTGGAGCTTGTCGAGGTTCAGCCTGGACATGCGGGGGGCGCGCCTGATCGGATTAGTGACAGCTCTCAGTCGGTCTCGACGTAATTGGCGGCGCATGACCGCGGGGGAAACCACCTACTTGTTGTCGAAACCCTTGGTTCCCCTTTGCACGATCAAGGGCGTCTGGCCACCCTGGAACCACGGCTTGACGTGGCCGTGCTGTCCCTGACCCTTGTGACCTCTTCCGGACGTCTTGCCCTTACCGGAGGAGGCACCTCGACCCAGGCGGATGCGCTTGTTGTAGGCGCTCTTGTTGTCGCTCAAGCTCGCGAGGATGGATGCATTGCGGATGGTGGTGGTGGTGATGGTGGTGGTACCGATGGACAGGCCGGCGAAGACGGAGACGAGGCTCGGGGGGTTCGTGGAAGGTCGCAGGGCTCGACTACAGCATGTCGTGAGATGCAATGGGGACAGTAACCGTGGAGGCATTGTGACGATTGGTGTGTGGTGGTGGTGGTCAACGACAGTGACACGCCCAAGATGGCCCAGTTCCAGCTTGGGTCCTCCAAAATTTCCAATGGAGCCTCACACAGGAGCTGCAGTCGCGCAGCCGGCAGAACCACGCGAAGAAACGCCGGGACCACACAGCCACACCATGGAGCTGCGTGGCGGTGGGTGGGATTCCAAAATGAATGTGGCTGGTGTGTTAGGTAAGCTTTGTCGGTGGAGCAGGGAACCTCCACTGGATGGAGTCATGACTTGCGTCCAAGCTAGCTGCCTGTGCCTGAAGCTCCCCTGGTCGCAGCCCAGCGCCCCCCCCTAGCTGCGCGTGTTCTCGCCGACAGGGACTGTTTGCTCCGCTGTAGGTAGCATGGTGTCCTGGTCGGAACAACCAGTGTTCACGACTTCACCTTCACTGACGGGAGGACCCAGGCCAAGGCACAGACAACTCAGGCACAGACAACTTAGACCCAACGATGGGGATTTGGGCTTCTGGGTTTACATACCTAGTACTGCCTACAGGCATGTATCCCTCGTCCCAGTTCCCGTCGTTCCCGTCGTCTCTTTCCCGAAGCCCACGGCCCGCCTTGACTCTTGAAGAGTGTCTCAAGCTTCGGCTTCATAGCTCTGCCCTCCTGGCCGGATTGGAGACTAAGTTTCAGGCTTCCCCCTCCCAATACCCTGCCCGTAGGACCATCATCTGTTTTCCCTACGTACCTACACACACATAAATATACTATCCATGTGCGTCATCAATTGAGGTTGCGTAGAATCTCATTGTGGCCTCTCACATCCTCCCATTTGCGCGTGCATCCCTTGATCTTCTGTCTGGTGTTGCAACGAAGGCAGTGCAAAGCTCTCTGGGTATACATACCATACCTTGCTGTAAGCTCGCTGCGCGCGGTGCTTGTCTGCTACCAACTGATTCCGGAATTTGGTCCTCACGCTGCTCTTATCTTGTCACTCTCCCAGCCGCCCTCCTCCAACTCGCAATTACGCATCAATTACGAGGCCTCGTTCACTTACGACACCTCGCCTCTTCTCTGTTTCGAACCCCAGGCAGCAGCCGGCCATCCAATTGTCATTGGAGGGGAACTCACACAACCATCCGACGACGGGTCACATAGCATAGCTAGCTACGAGCACAGTACCACCAGCCAGATCCTGTATCACCTTGACGACGCTTGATCTCCGACGCCGCACTCTACCCTTTCCCCCAATTGGCGGCCGATACATAGTCGCCATACAATGTCGCTCTTCGGCTCGTCACCGCCGGCGGATTCTCCGTCCAACACCTCTGCTGCACCCTCGCGCTCCCTATTCGACGACGAGCCCATGTCCAAGTCCGGTTCCAACTCCCTCTTCGCCGACGACGACCTCGCCGGCGCCGACAACTCGCCCTGGGATATGCCCACCCCGAGGAAGAAGCAGTCCCGCGCCGACGTTGTCCGCAACCTGCTGCCCGCCTCCGACGTACCCGACGCCTACATCGAGACTTTTGATACCGTCGCGCGCGAGGATGGCGCAGGAGGGCGCGTCAAAGCTGGCGGCGTGGCCAAGCTGTTTGCCGCCGCGCGCCTGCCAGCCGACCACCAGGCGCAGATCATGTCCATGGTTGTGCCAGCTGCAGGTGGCGACATTGCCGTCGGACGAGGCGAGTTCAACGTCCTTCTGGCCCTCATTGCCTTGGCGCAACAGGGCGAGACCATCAGTCTCGACACTGTAGATGAGCAACGCAGAAGTGAGTGCATCTTTTCATCTTTCATTCTCTCCCACCCCATCATTGCCTATCGTCCATCCACCTCGCACTTTATGTCATGACCTTGGTACCCTGGCCCAGCCCCCCCGAGCTATCGACTATCGCAGCTCCCTGGACCTGACCTTACCTTACCACTTATCAGTGCGCCGCAATCTGTGTGGGGTCCTGTTCCTTGCTAATTGCCAATACGCTAAATCCAGACCTTCCACTCCCCAAGCTTGCCGGCCTGACTGCTGCGCCCGAGATGCCTCCCGTCTCCGAGCTTGCTGCCAAACCTCCCCAAGCTCCTGCAACCCCCGTTCAAGAATCCGCATCGCCGCCGCCGTCTCAGCCAAGCACTCTGCGTCGATCTCCGATGGAGTTCCCAGAATCCGAGGACCCGTGGAACTCCCCTGACGTGCACAAGGGCCACGCGCACGCCATCGCTGAATCCCCCAGCAGGACCAACGGCGCCAGCCCCCAGCGCCCTGCACCTAATGCCAACGGTAACGGCAACGGAAACGGCAACGGCAACGGCAATTACAGCTCGTCGCCGAGCACTGCCATCGCCGGTCGAACCATATCTGCCTACGCGGCTAGCTCTCCGACAGGTTCCGGACGTCAGAATGTAAACAGCGGCACGTCACCGGGCGGCGGCTGGGGCGGCTATTTCGATGGCAGCACCACGAGCGGCGGCTTCAACGAACCCGTCCCTAGCCAGATTACAAGTCCTTTCGGCGGCACGAGCAGCGCACGTGACGAGACTGGAAACCCCGCTACTGTGCCGTCTCTGCGCCCTACCGTGAGCGCCCGATCGGGAGGCCCTGTGGAGGAGAACATTGTCGTCTCTTTGCTACCCGAGAAGGAGGGTCTGTTTATGTTCCAGCACCACAACTACGAGGTTTCGAGCATCCGGCGGGGCAGCAAGGTTATCCGACGGTATAGCGACTTCGTATGGCTTTTGGACTGTCTGCACAAGCGATATCCTTTCCGTGCGCTGCCTCTGTTGCCGCCCAAGCGTGTCGCTGGTAAGTTTAGCGCCTCGCACTCGTCGACTTTCTACTGACAACACAAGTTAATGGCAACCACTTTTCCAACGATGGCGCCTTTATCGAGAAGCGTCGCAGGGGTTTGGCGAGGTTCCTGAACGCGCTCGTTCGCCATCCTATCCTTGGCCAGGAGCAGCTCATCATCATGTTCCTGACTGTGCCAACTGTAAGCCACCGCCACCACTCTTTGCCGACCCATTGAATCTCGCTAATTGTTAGTATCAGGAATTGGCCGTGTGGCGCAAGCAGGCTACCATCTCTGTCCAAGACGAGTTTCAAGGGCGTGTTTTGCCGCCCGGACTGGAGGACTCGTTGCCTCCTACCCTCGAGGCACTGTTTGACAAGACGCGGGCCGGCATTCGACGTTCAGCTGAGCTGTACATCAACATTTGCAACATCATGGACCGCTTAGTGAAGCGTAGCGAGGGAGTTGCAGCCGACCATGCCCGCATCGCCATGTCTCTCACTTCCCTGACGGAAGCGAGTGCCGACACCTACGCAACCGACACCAACGAAGTACCTCTGCTCAACGATGGCCTGACATCCATGAGCAGGCATCTGAGAACGTGTCAGACTCTGTTGGAAGATGAAAGCAAGGCTTGGGACGAGGGAGTGCTGGAGGACTTGAAGCGCCAGCGCGACGCGCTCGTCAGCATCCGTGACTTGTTCGATCGGAGGGAACGTCTTGACAAGGACAATATCCCTTACCTCGAGCGGAGGATCCAGACGAACGAGACAAAGCTGGCCAATCTTCGCAGCAAACCCGTTGACCTTGTGAAGCCGGGTGAGATCGAGAAGGTGGTTGACGCGATCATCAAGGTACGTAAATGTGTTTCCACACCTCACGGGACGACGATATTAACGAACCCCGCAGGATAAAGAGTCCATCGTCAACCAGCACAACCGGTCCATCTTCATCAAGGAATGCATCCGCGATGAGCTCATCTACTTCCAGCAGACGCAGTTCCACGTCTCGCGATGGAACCAGGACTGGGCTCAGGAGCGTGTCAAGTATTCCGAGATGTTGGCCGACAACTGGCGCCGTCTTCTTGACGAGCTTGAGGGCATGCCCCTCGGCGACTAATGTCTCCTCCCCCTCGCCTATCTCCAAGCCTCGACTTTGCATATCAGCGTCTTCTCCATCCCTGGCGTTCCGGTCTTTTCCCTACATCCGCCAGACTATTCAACTTACCCGTTGGACTGGTCGGCGGCAGCCCTAGTCTTAAACGAAATCGTGTCGTCCTTTTCTGAACGCGATATTTTCCCAGACCAGATGTACATCTCAGAGCAGGAACCCGTTGCCGAATACCCTTTGGTTGCGCAAGTTGCTTTTAATACGTGGTACTTAATTCCCATCTTCGCTGTTCCAGTATTTAGTTTCTACCTTGTGTGATTGCTCCATCATCGTCGTCCGAGGTCTGAAGAGCACTTGGTCCATTTACTGGGATACAGTGGACTGTCGAGATGAAGTTCAATCATTTCCCAGCTTATGTGACTCCTTGGACTAGCGACTTGAATTTATCATCACCAGCTTGACGTCTTCAAGTCATTCTATATATGCCCTGATATCAGGGTAGCAAAAGCTCATTCTTGGATATCCTGCTTTGGGACCCCTTTACGTTTCCCCCATTACCTCTAAAGGTCCTCAACACTCCCATCCATACCAGTAACAAGGTATATTCATTCCTCAGCCACACAATCAAACTACCCGGTTTCTTCATGATCATCAATGTGAATTCCCTTCACTCTTCTGGCCCCGCTCTATCGCCAAACAGGACGAGGGCGGGAGGGTTGATGGGCACAATCTATTGGTATCATAACAGCGGGTGAGCCACTACCCAAACTATTAGGTCAATTGGTCGTCGAGCAGAACACTGTGAAACAAGACACGCAAAAGAAGTATCTGAAGGAAGCTGTTTTGCTACATCCTGTTCTTCTTTGTTTCTTGTTCCCTCTCCAGACTGAAAATTATAAGAAATCCACCTTTGTGAGCTTGGGGGACATCACGATACCATCATAAAGCAACAAGAATCAGAAACCTGAGTGTCACTACCCATAATGCCTGTAAGTGTTCTTTCATCTATATTTCTTTCATTGTTCTTGCTGCGAGGATTCCTTTCATGATTTCATCTGTAGGCTCGGCGAGCTTCAAGACAATTTTGCCTCTTCTGGATTCATTCGATCTTCTTATTTTCCCGCAATCAAGACGCTTGGTTTCTGACGATCCACAGAGCAAGAAGCCCGAGGAAGAGGAGGAGGAGGAGGAGGAGGAGGAGGAGGAGGAGGGGGTCAGACTGTTTGTCAGCGACGACGAGGGCTCTGGCACTGACGCAAACACCACCGCCGACGAATCCGTCCTCGAGTCTGCCGACGAGCCCGTCAGCGAGGCCGAGTCCTTTACAAGCAGCATCGACGCCAACGGCCGCGCCCTCAACCTCCAAGGCCGCCGTCGTGGCAAGGACGACCCCCACAGCAGCTGCACGGCGCGCGCTTACCTCCAGGACGGCCAGGACTACACTGGAAACAACGTCCGCCGCTGCAAGGCAGTCCGGCACAACCCGGCCTTTGCCACGTGGTGCTTCTGCAGCCGCCAGAAGAAGTGCAAGCCCGAGATTAACTTCACGGACAAGAACGGCTTCGTCACGTGCCGGACCTGCCACGCCTGTCGAGCGCACTCCGAGACCCGCCGCATTGGCGACAAGGCCGAGCGCAAGAAGGCGAAGGCGGCTAAGACCAAGGAGTGGAGGGACAAGGCCAGGGTTGGCCGTTTCTTCCATTGCGGAAAGCCCGTTAACGAGACGCCCCGTCGGGGGCCCGATTCGGACGACGAAGACCTCAACGGCATGGACGGCTCGTCCGGTGGTGAGATTGGCGGTACCCTGATCGCTGGCCACTGAGGGAGGCACCTCACGGGCTTTTTCTCGCCGGCAGCAGTCAACATGAGAGGCGACGACATGGGGTGGCATGGAATAATATGGGATGACACAGAAAGAAAAGTCTGCAGTCTGGGGACGAGACGAATACTGGATTAAACTTCTAAGGAAAGGGCGACGGATGTACTTAACTCTCCGAGTGAATTGCTTTCCTCTCTCATCGTCATATCTTCAATACAATGAGCAGCAGACTCAAAATGAGATATAAGCAGTTTGAAATAACTGCCGATTTCGGATGGAATATCGATTGAATGACGGGAAGGAAAGATCGGGAGAGCGGTTGCGACTTGACATAAGTGAGGCACAAGTATCTGCGCGAGCTCAACACGATATACCGGCTCTTGGACCCGAAAGTCAAATGATATCCGGAGCACAAAGCTTCTTCAAAAAGCTTGATGGATTGTAAACACAGTCGCTTGTAGTTGGGATATTGACATTGAAGTCTGACAAATCATAAGTATCCGGTTTTTGTTTCTTTCTTTCCTCCCCCCTCCCCTTTTAATAAGCTTTTAGAGGGGCTTACATAGCAAAGCATGATTAATAAATAACGTAGGCATGCTGCTGCCTGTACAGCTTTTTAGGAAGCTCCTGCTTTTGTCTTGTTTAGCTGGGTATTTTGAGTTTCAATCAGCGAACTCTTGTGGCTGTGAGCTGTTCGGTGATTGGCACGCCGGGGCAAAAAATAAAATAAAATAAAATAATAAATACCTTAGTGGCTGATTGTCTGTCCTCTCAGCCCTCCCTGTAAGAGATTGGAAGGCTCTTGGCTTGACCTTATCACCATTATCATCCTCGCCAAGCGATGTAAACGGACGGGCTTTACGGCCCGCGATAAGGCTGTGCCGCTAGCTTCACAGCACCAACACCTCCTTGCTCATGCAGAAGGGGCGCGCGCATCTTCTTCGACTGTGAGAAAGCACGTGTTTACAGTGCCCTTGGGGAGGCAAATGATGAGAGCAGCACTCACCTAATCTCGTCAATATCATCTCTCCTCGTCCAAAAACATATCGCTCACCGCCTCGTACACACCATCTTCACTTAGCAGCTGCAGCTCGATTTTCATCACGGCCTCGTATCGTCCCGTCCTGCATCGTTTCCTGCCAGATAGTCAACATGTCAAGCGGGCCGTCCCAAAGAGATCCAAAAAGCAACGCTCTTATCTCCAGGTTCGAGATGGTGGACGGCATAGTATGGGTAAGGCTGCCAACTAGAGGACGAGACCCCTGGCTAGTTGCTGGCGTCGCGCATGCCAATAGATAATGCACCGCAATATGGGCGCCAGCGTATCTCAGGGCTGATTAGAGACACAGCACCAACTTATCATATATATCAACCACCCAGTGCTACTAGTCGTGCAGCGCGGGCGACACCGCGTGGCAACCTTTATTTTCGAAACGCTCGCAGCACCGACGAAGATGGGTCAGCTCGGCAGCTCGGCACGGCTGACAACGTGACTGTGTTCCTTCGGAAGAGGCGCAGACGGAGGCTAGCTGAATAACTTGTGCCGTCTTTACCGACAGACCTTCCAGAGGCAACAGTTTTTCGCAGGATTTATAAGGGCGACGCCCAATATGAACAGGCACTTCTCTCTCGACTACCAGGTGTATGGCAACACGACACACGTCAGATATTTATACGTCACTACATGGGACGACATCGCACTGCATTCGAATCCTGGGTCGGCATCAGGAACAGGAATGGATTCCTGGGATATGTATTCCACAATTTATTGCCGACAGGCCGTCAATGCTCTTCCCCAAATCGATTCTCGTCCAAACGCAACAACCCGACCATTTTTTCTATCTACCGAATAATCCATGGCACCTCCCGAAGAGGACAAAGGAAAAGAGGCCAAAAAGGCAAGGGAAAAAGCCCAAAGTATTACATCCGTCGTGCTGCAAGGAGGCACGTTATGTGTGTGGTTCAGCCTGCCGTTTGCTCCCATGGATACCATCCGACACAACAGGTCCTCATGGGGCCCGAAGCCAAGGTAGTGATAATTCACTGATTGGAGGAAAGGAGGAAAGAATCGTCATAGCAAGACACTGGAAAAGAGATGGATTGGATGGCGGTGACGCTGAAGAGAAGGCGCCACAGTCAGCCCGATTGTAGCCGCAAACCTTGGCCGAAGCTTCAGTTGCACCACATCTCGACCCGAGTCGTTTCGAGCTGGCCCAGGACATCAAAGTCGAGCCCCGTTTGCCGGAAGGCAACAATGATCATGTCGAAGCGCTGCTCGAGCGACTTGATATTCCAGTCCTCGACGTCCAGACGGTTAATCTGTGGCACCGCCTCCTGTTTGACGAGAGGATCGGCCCAGCACACATCGACCTTCTCGGTCAGCACGAGGCTCTTTGCGAGCTCGAGGCCAGGGGAGTTGGCCAGGTGAGACTGGCCCTTTTTGAAGCCCATGCCGACGACAAGGACGCTGGGGCGCGGCTTCTCGGCACATAGCGCCTCGACCGCGCGCTGAGCGATGGCCGCTGGACGGGCGCGCATTTTCTCTGTTGCGTGTTGCAGGAGAGGGAACTGGCTGTTGGAGAGAAGGTAGTATGGGTTTACCGGGATACAGTGACCACCGACACCGAGACTGGGAGTGAAGGGCATGTATCCGAAAGGCTTGGTTGCCGCTGCGCCAGACACCTCGTAGGGGTCGACACCGTGGCCCAAGCACGCGTCGGCCATCTCGTTTGCGAACGCAATGCACATCATGCGCTGGCAGTTCTCGTACAACTTGGTCATCTCGGCGACCTCGGGCCGCGAAACGGGAACGACGTGGTCGAAAACCTGCGAGTAGAGGCGGACAATAGCGTTTAATGAGCCAGGCACCACGTCGTCCAAGCCGGATACGATCTTGGGGATGGCAAAGGCAGGGGGCTCGATACGACCGGGGTCGACACGCTCGGGAGACATGCCGGCAAAGAAGTGACGCTCCTTGGCGAGGGGGCCTAGCAGCTCTCTCGTCATGCCGACTGCGACAGAGGATTCGACGACAACCACAGAGCCAGGACGTGCGTACGTGGCGACATTCTTGAGGGCGGATCTCAGGAAGGACGAGTCAATGCTCTGGTCGGGGCGCAAGAGCGTAGGGACGGAGATGAGGAAGTGGGTAGCCGCCGCCATGTCGCTGGGTTTGCAGGTGAACTTGGCTTTGCTGTCCGGGCCGAACTCTTTCTCGAGGCCCTGCACGCGCGCTTCGGAAACGTCGAATCCGAGGACGTTGAACTTGCGAGCAAAGTTGCCCACGAGGTGCTCTCCGACATATCCGACACCAATAACGGCCACCAGCGGCTCCGCCTCAAGGTCAATGGAACTGGCAACGGTCGCGAGCTCCTCATCCGACTCGCACTCCTCGGTGGGAGGAGTGATGGGGTAGTAGTCATCGTGGGAGAATCCCCAAGTCCCCGGCTTGCCTTCCGTCGATTCAAAGGGGTAGGTGTTGCGACATGTCGGAGATCGCTCTGGGGTGTCGGGGGTAAGAACCTGGGCATCCATTACGAATATGATAAGGCGAAGGTATAAACGAACAACTGGATGTTGGTAGAGGCGGGATATGTGGTGGGGATGAGATATCTATGGAAGAGGAAAGGGAGGATACCCTCTTGATATCTTCTTGTCGAAGTGGTCAACTACACTGCCAAGTGGCCAGCTGTCGGGGACAAGATGTGAAGAAGGGAGAGAGGGGTGCATGGGTAGAGAGGGAAGAGAAGCTTTGTCGGAAAGAACGGAGACGGGAATTAAAAAGACTTGCCAACCGAGGTGCCAACATGATGAGCAGACGCAAGGAGTAAGAAGGAGGAGACAGCTCACTCGATGTGACCATGCCACTGGCGTCACCTACTCGAGCTTGTACAGACCCAGATCGTTGCGGCAGCCTCTCTCTCCCTCCCTCCCTCTGCCTCTGTCTCTCTCCATGGACCATGGCAGCACCTGCGGCAAGCAAAGGTTGAGACATGGCTACGAAGCCGAGCTGAATTTGCCGCCGGTCCTAATCGGGATCCACGTCTGCAGCAGGCGTGAACGCCGTGCCATAGTGGTAGTGGTGAGGTGAAGCCACCCCAAGAGATAGCCGGCGGTACGCGGCTGGGGTAGCGACAGGGCTGTGAGCAAATCAACAGGAAAAATAGCCAGGAAAACGAAGTCGAGATGATAGTTTCAGGTCCAGGCTGGCACCTGTGCAGAGACAGGACTCGGAACCCGGAGGGGGGGGGGGGGGGGGGGCAAACGGGTGATCATCAGCAATAGTCCGTCCATCTGGGAAGAGCTCGTCCATGGCAAGCAGTTCGAAGGTGGCTGACGGTTCCACCCTCTAAACGCAACTACAAGAAAAACACAGGCGCGCCTCGGCAAAGACGAACATGGACTGCACGGGAGAGAGGGAAGCAGTAGTGCGATATGGCATCAGCACAACGACAATGGCGGCATTCTGCCCCGGTCAAGGTGTCTAGACCATCGACATAAGACAGTACTTCTCCGAAAGAAGACCGTATTGTCACTCAGCAGCAATATCACTCGGCCGTGGAATCGCCAAGATGGCAAACTCGGATGCATGAAGCAGGCAGAGACACTCATATCCCCTGTCAGTTCGTTGCACTTCTCGCCGAGTTGCCTCCCGACAATGCTTGAGGCCGTGCAGAGCGCCGCCCCCCCTTCCCCCTTCCCGTCAAAAAAGTTGCTGTCGAGGACTTTGAGAGAAGCCAGACAAAGCTGCGGCCTGCACGGCTGGGCCCCAAAGGGAGGGAGGGAGGTATGCTTCCTTGGGAACTGGCGCGGAGTTGAATATCACAGCCCGCTGCATGGTCATACTTGGAAGTGCGTGAGCAAGCCTGACAGGGTACTCACGGATCGAGGTGAATCGACAAGGTCGGGAAGCGCACCCTAGGGCCGCTCTCGCATCTCCAAGGGCCGGAGAGAAGACGACTTAGTCGACTACCGGTCTTGGGCCCGACGATCTCGCCTGGCCCCGCCATTCTTTCTTGGCGAAAGAGATTTCACTTCCTGGCGAGGTCTTGTCTTGGAGGTCTTGAAAGTTTTCTCTGATGGAAGGCTTGCGAATACGTCAGCAGGGGGCCGTCAGAGCGAGCGGAAGGCGAGGGGGAGGGGTGAGATGGCTGGATGGAGGCTGAGCAAGAGGAAGAGAGCAGCACACCGGGACGAGCTCGCTTGCCTGGGTTGCGTTACGTTGCGTTGCGTTGCAGAGCACACACGGCGAGGTCGTTGGGCATGGCATGGGCATCAAGCCCGTATTCCGTCAAGCGCACGCGTATCCACTCGAGGTGTTGACAGGAAGCTATTGTCTTGGCAGGCCGAGCTCTGTCGGGATGGAAATGAGAACGATGTCGTGTGGTTGATGCGCCATAGAAAGAAGGAAGGACGTTGCGTACGGGGATGATTGGCGGGAGAAACGGCGCGGGCGGCGTTCGGTCAGCTTTCCACGGGTTCAATAGGTACGTACCTTGATATGCATATGTTATACATTATACCCGCCCCCCTGGATGCAAGTCTCAGTTGATTAAGATTATTGCATAACACTCATACCAGGGCTTTATTGCATAGAGCCGGAGTTGCCTCTCCGACCACTCCCCCAAGGTACGTAGTGTTTCTCTTCACTCAACTTCTCACGCCCCTCCATCACTTCCCGATTCCCCCCATCTGTTCGGTTCCCTACTAGGAAGTAGTTTACACACATCCCCTCCTTCATCTCTTCCCATGTTCATCTCAATACGCTCCTTGGGCTGACGAAGGGTCTGTGCGACTTTGCGAGGGACCGCCTTGGATACGTACCTCGGTTAGCCTACGAAGACGCTGAGGGGAGGGGTGCGAGCTCGTCGATGGCAATCCGGACCGCTCTCCACGATGCCGTCAGTCACTTACCATCTCGACTCAAGCTTCCGCGTCGCAAAACGCCCCTTTCATCGATCCACGCGTACACGTGCTATGAGAGCTACGACAATGGACCGGTTGTCCCTCCTCGACGCCTTTTTCTGCCCTTTCCGTCCGCATCAAAGCTTGTCGTCGTCTGCTAGGGACTGGCGTAGCGCCACAGGCGAAAGACACTGTTATGCGTACGCGGCTTTCCTTCGAGCAACAACTCCGCCCAGGTAGCTATCGCATGATGCTTCGCCCAAACAAGCAATGACCTCAGCTCCTAATATGGCAACAAGATTTACTAACCGGCGGGATCGGACTGCCGCGTCGACTGGAATAACCTCGCTACTTATTGAGCTGATTCCAAGCATGAAGACTTGTCTTGAAAAGGGATCAAGATTCGAGAACCCAAATCTCTCTCATCATGACAGTCGCTATAGTCTGGGAACTACGGCGGCCCTGGTTTCCGCCTCCCATCGCTACAACGCTTACCGAAATGTCTCGGACGCCAAAAATCCGACGCAATGTCGTCCGTGGATGTCTGCGCGACGCCAGTGAGCGCGAGAGAGCCTGACTGTGTGCGACCTGTAAGAGTCTTTAGCTTCTCCGAAGATGGGGCTCGCCATCATCCTCGCCGCGTGTGCCCTTGGCATTGGCATGATTGGTGCAACTCTACCGCCTCGTTACTAGCTGACGAACCAAAACATGCGATGCTGAGGCTTCTGCACTGATGCCATCTGCACGACAAATGCAAGATGCATTGCGAATTTAGAACACTGCAGAGGCACCGCCAGGTGTCTAAGGATTGGCATTGAAGCCGTAGCCTTACCAAGTTGGGCCAACGATGCAAAGAAGACGAGGTGCATCTCAGCTTTTGTGCGGGGCTGGGGTTACCATTGGCTCCAGACATCATAGCACCGCTTCCGTTTGATGACCTGTGCTCCCTCGGTCTCTCGTTATACGAGGTCCATGATCGAAACTCGATTGGCTGCAGCTCTTACTCGACCTTTGCCATTTCAAGAGCCGGTCCAGCCCAGAATGACATCAATGTCCTGATACGCTTGTGCCGACCAGCGTTTTTGATGGAAACGGAATGAAGAAAAGTTCCAAGTCAGAGTCTCCTTCATCCACCAAAAAGGTTGGAAGGATTAGAGTAGGATGCTGACGGCACTAGAAAGATCGGAGTATTGTCTTGCTTTGTTTCCTGGACCGAGCGCCAAAGAGTTGCCGATGTGTCCCAAGGAGGCAACAAAAATCGAAATGAAGCTTGCCGTATACCACGAGGCATAAGTCAGTCAAGTCGAACGGGTCTTGGGTTCCAACACTGGGCTGAGCAGTGTTTGAGCTGGGACCGGTGACTTCACTGTGGTCCCTTTAGGCTGCCAAGTCCTCGGAAAGCCAACAAAAGACTAAGGGATGGGGTTTTCGACCGCTGGCCCGTCTGTGGGGAGACACAATCGCCCTTCATTCATGTGAGCTTGCCAGACGTTTTCATTCATGCCCATCGCTATCGTTGTCTTAAGTGGTGTTGCTTTCCAAGTTCAAATATGGCAGATCGCAAGACAACGGATCCCAGAGTTCATCCTCCCGGATTCAACGAGATACGGATGCCGAGCCCAGACACAATCCCTCCCGCCAGACCCTGGGCGAGGAAGAGAGACAAGCAGAAAAGAAACGTTGTACTTCTGATGAGAAAATAAGGACGACAAGGACGCACCTCCCCCCCTCCCGCTTGGCCTATCCTTGGAACCCTCGGATAACTACTAATGGCATGAATGGAATCGACAAGGGTTATCTACCCTCAGTCAGGGCCCCTAGTCAACTCCTACCAGTCACACCCTAGTTCTTGGTGTCTGATCTTCCGCTAAGTCTTTCCTGGTCTTCCTCTTAGGGCACATCATCAGTCAATTCGGTGTGAATGGCTAGAGCTCCGTGAGGTATTGGTCAGCTTCTGCATCTCCTGCAGGGGCTCAATGTATCTGGTCTCACTCTGCATTTGCTGTATTGACAGATGAAAAGTAGTTTTTTTTCTTGCTTCTCACCGTTAGCCTGCCAACACACACCTTCACGGCGATGCGCTTGAGGACTCGTACCCCGAGTGATATCGGTCGATCCCAGCCTTTAGTCGGGCGAGCCGGGTCCGCCATCGGGAAACAACTCTCAGACAGATTACCCTGCCCAAGTTCTCAGAGGTTCTCGTGTCTGTCGCGACTGGCGTGGCGCTGCAACTTGTATGCCGCCTGCTGAACGCCTCATCCGTTGTCTCTCTCCTCATGTAGGCATGACAAAGTCCCAATGCCACTCCGAAGACATGGATGGATCCAGCGATGTGGTTGAAACGTGTCATGCTATACACTCGGGTCTTGGTTCGACGCGCAACGGGGAGCCGTCTCGTATTGAATTTTCCAAGGCTGGTCCCAGCCAAACGTATACATCTTGTCAGCGCCGTTGCTCCGACTGCCAAGTTGCACGTCACTTCAGACCGACTTACTCCGTCTCTTTTTCTAAGACCGACCCAAGGAATACCAGGACAACCGGCGCCCTTGGCAGGACTGGACGAGACGAGCACCGTTCTTGTATGACCAGAAAGACTGGCTGGCTACTGCTTCCAACATCACTTGTAAATACCGCTCCTCGCCATCCCTGGATAACTTTGCATTCTATCCCTCGTTTGTGCCCGCAGCGTCGATCTCCATAACCACACCCTCGTTGCAGCATATATTGCCCCAAAACATGCATAGACTACTGCCATTCATTCTGTCCGGGGCGGTCAAAGCCGCCACTATTCACAGTCCCCTCGTCAAACGAGCCGAGTGCGGGCCTGGAATCGGGTCCTGCGCTCCGGGACAGTGTTGCTCAGAGGCCGGCTGGTGTGGAACGACGGCAGATTACTGCGGCGGATCGCAATGCCAGATTGAGTTCAGCGACTCTTGCGACACCTTGTAAGTTAAACTGAGACTTTTTTCCCGCTTCCAGATGTCCACATAGCGGAGTTGCTAACAGGGCCTCACTAGCTTTCCACCACCAGGCGCTAGTACGGAGAGTATCGCCCGTCCCCTCGTGGGTTCCGTACCTTATGGTGTGTTCATCTTCATCGTGCATTGCAGAACAGGCCTAACGTGCGTCTGTTCCAGGCTCAATAATTACCACCTGCGCCGTGCCCGGTACCTTGGCATTGACGTTCGATGACGGCCCATACATCTACACATCGCAGTTGCTCGACATCCTTGAGGCCCAGAATGTCACCGCCACCTTCTTCGTTGCCGGGAACAACAAGGGCAAGCTGCGGATGGATAACCCGGATACTGCTTGGCCGGCCGTCATGCGCCGGATGCACGCTGCTGGCCACCACATTGCGAGCCATACCTGGAGCCATCGCAACTTGAATTTGGTCAACAGCACCATTCAGAGGACTGAAATCATCTACAACGAAATGTCATTCCGTAACCTCTTCGGCTGGATCCCCACGTACATGCGTCCGCCTTACCTCGAATGCGACGCGGGCTCCGGCTGCCAGAACCTGCTCAAGACGCTCGGCTACCATATCATCAATGTTAACATCGATACCAAGGACTATATGTATGATTCTTCTGAGACAATCCAGACCGCTAAAGACCGCTTCTCTAGCGGGATCTCGACAAATGCGGCTGCCAATAGCTACATCGAGCTGTCCCACGACGTCCACTATCAGACCGTGTTCAACCTGACCCAGTTTATGATCGACACAGCAAAGGCACGCGGATACCGTCTTGTGACCGTGGGCGAGTGTCTCAATGATCCCAAGGAGAACTGGTACAGGCCTGCCGGTGGTGCCATTAGCTCCGGCATCGCGCCCCTGTCCACGAGTACGAGTACAACAACTTCCGTGCCCACGCGTAGCACGGCCTTGACTACCTCGACGAGCCAGTCGCGAACATCCTCCACCTCATCCAGACCCCCTGCATCCACGGCCAAGGTCTCGCCGGACCAGACCTGCGGTGGAACCGCTGGTTACACGTGTCTTGACTCGACATTTGGCAACTGCTGCTCACCATATGGGTTCTGGTAAGCCTCCAGAACGCCCCGTGATACTATGAATGGGACGGCTGACGATTTCTCCTTATCACAGCGGCTCGAGCCTGACGTACTGCGGAACGGGCTGCCAGGCAGGCTTTGGTTCTTGTGCGCCACAAGCTCCAGACGTGAGTGATACTACCAACGGGCTTTGCGGTAGTCAGTACAAGGCAACCTGCAAGCACTACGGCGAAAAGAATTGCTGCTCGCAATATGGATACTGGTACGTGACTGCGCTCCCTTCAATTCCCTGTTACCGGTGTTTCTGGGCATGGGCGCCATTCGCCGATTCGTAGGCGACATTATTGAACGATTCGAATTACTGACACATAAATTACTACAGCGGAAGCTCCGCAGCCCACTGTGGAACAGGATGCCAATCGCTTTTCGGGATCTGCAATTGATCGAAATATGCTGGGCCAAGCTGCGGATACTGCCGCTTGCGTCTAACCTTGCGAACGACCACTATGCTCGCACTATCGAAAGCCAATGGGAGAGCCCTCACCCGCAAGCAGCTGGGTACCTATCTTGAATATATCCGCCCCTCCGCAATACAATTTGCAATATAATTTAGTAGTAGCACTAGGCAAGGAACATGAGGGGCAAAGGTTGTAAACCTTGTTATCCTCGTGCTTAGTTTTTACGGGCAGGCGGGCAGGCGGGCAGACGGGTCATGGAATCGATGGGCTCTAATCCATCGACAATGCCAAGGCTGTCTGTCGGCATCGATGCACTACCACCTATTCACTAGGTCCATCTATCTTCACGGTGTATACTCTTACGGCCGACAAAATACGATGGAGATTGGAGTTGGGGGATTGACGCGACTTTTGCGCATCGCGGCAGTGGAAACAAACCGTTGGGATATTGCGGAACTAAGGGCAAGGCAGAACGAGGAGCAAATAGCTTGATAATAATGCATAATTGAGTACGGAGTAAGTGCAACACGTCTCAGCCCGTATCCCGCGTTTGCGACATCTCAACGGCGGCCTCCTCTGTCTCACCGGATGGAACCATCCCTTGGCCTTGGGTAGGTGGTTATTTCAACGACAAGAGCCGATGTTCGTTTGTCAACTTTGAAATACGAGAGATCGAGAGAAACAAGAAAAGAAAACAAAATAAAATAACTAAACTAAACTGGCCATGTGTAGGTAGTGAGTGGTGCTAACGAAACGCAATTACCCGTAGCGGCCCGTGGGTGAACTGGGGCCTGAAAATATCATCATAGCAAGCGCTATCCCGCTATACCACATAACACCAAGAAGGAGGGGACGACGTGCTCCGACTATCCGTGATTGGCTCCCTAAACAGAAAAAGGATTTTTTTCTTCTTGTGGCCGTGCTACGACGTACGACGAGCCTTTTGCCTCGTCAACGGGCGATGGATATGGGATGTTTCAGTGGGGCTGGACCAGCTGTTTATGGGTAACCATGACCTGACAAAGTATCCATCCGATTGCATAGCCCAGACCTCGTCTCCGCTATGCCAAGGCAGTCGAGAAGCAGCCCAGGACGCAAGTAAGCAGAGCGCTCAATGGCT